ATAAAATTTCTATAATTTGTTGATAAAAATTTGTGCGCCCGGGTTTGTTGTTGTCCCGGGTTTTATAAATAATTTTGCGGGGCTTGTTTTGGGGGGTTTTTTTTTTCCCCCCCCCCCCCCCCCCCCCACTTCATGGATATATCTCTACCGTGTGGTAGATGTCCGGAGAACCGACTGCTAGTTATGGAGTATATTATAGCGTCAATGTTATAAACGACTCTGAAGGTCCTTATTTTAGTTCCTAGCTTAAAGTGGGTTGAAACATCAAGCTAAACTTGTATGTCGAAGTATAAATAAAGTGTTTCACGCTACAGATTAGGTCGGTTCCATCAACCTGAAACCGTACTTCGACTTAGATGGTTTCGAATCACGATTCGATTGGGTTTTGGTGAGGATTGTTATCATGGCGTTTGGCGCGGTGAAGCAATCGGAAGTTATCTGCTGTTGCATTGTGGTGATATATACTCTATATATTGCTCTATAACAACCGATATATATTTAGTCCTACCATCATTCACACTAGCCATTTTTCATAACTTAAAAACAATAAAGTTCAGAGCTTTGATGTACTACGATCTCCCACCCATCAGATCCATGTAATATCGCAAATACGAATAAGCTATAATCGTACGGAGTACATTCAACATCTCCCCGATCCCATTCCGCCCAAGCTTCTAATCCGAACTGGATCGTCATGGTGATCTGTCTCGCAACCCCTGACTCGGCTATAGCGCCTAGGAAGCTACACGTTATTAGAGAGCTAAAATAAGTCTAATATGAGTGGATGCACTCAAGTTCTTGATACGAGATGGAAAAAATAAGCAAAACTCAAAGGACACGGGATCTCGCGTCAAATCTAGCGTCCCCGGACAGAGGCTCCTCTCATACAAATCAACGAATAACGACGCCAGTGGGTAAAGATCAACAGTGTTAGCGTGACACACTTCCTGGTCATGCTAAAGACATTTTGCAAATAGTAAAGAGTCCCCGAAACCGAGTAAGACATGCTTGGCAGTCTTCCAATCTTCTAATTATTCTCTCCACGCTGAGACATGCGAGCTTGAGATGAATAGGTTCGATTCAGATACTACGGGAAGCAGCATCGGTGATAGAGATACCTGTTAGCCAGCCCTCTTTCACTTCTTTGAAAATGGGAGCGTGACAAATATCAATATCAAAGGTGAGGCTGATTCCTGCTGTCAGTTTTGACCGCAAGTCTATGATCATCTTGTTCCGCCACTGTCTCATTTTTGAGATGCTACCGGGGAACAGAGGAAAGTGTGGGCGAATACTGCCGAGCCGTACACTAACCGAAGCGGCATCTGTCAGCTTTTAGCTCCCTTCCTGAAACCGTTAACCTCCTTTTTATCTGTGACATCCGTGAATAGTCGTGAGGCGCTAAGTATCCTAGGGGAAGGGGTCGAGCCCCATTAACGCTCTAAGTTCGGGTGTATTCATTTGTCGGGCATTCCGTACGTACTTTGTACTGATTGCGTACTCTGAGAGCCACTTCTTTTCCGACAGGGGCCAAAGAAGGTTAAAGCTAGGAACGGCAGTTCCCACTGAGAAATAACCGCTCATGAGTGGCCATCGATATGGAGCTGATGTCAAGGATTCACACCTCCCTCTCTGCGATGGGGGGATCGACGAAGAGGCTGCCCTGTAGGAGAAGGTCCTCGTTGCAGGGGCAAAAAAAAAAGAGAAAAGAGTCCCCAAAGACATGCAGTCGATGCCGAGTGGTGATTTGCCGATTTTCATCTGCCATTCGTCACGGATAGCCGGGTGACAGCTGATTCCCGTCCAACTCCAGTAGGCCTAACACCAAAAGCCGGTCTTTGTCTTTTCTCTTCTCCCTTCACGTAGAATAAAGATACCAACACCGATATTCTCTCCAGAACAGACAGAGATGTGAGTGAATAGTCGAACCACCCCAAGACAAAGCGGGTCCACGTCACATTCCTCCGAGCTGTGGTGCAGACTAAACTCTGATGCGAACAAGGGTAGGCCAGTGATCTTCCACCCCATCAAGACACCGGTTAAAAAAACCGAGGATCGTTGCCGTTTGTCTCCTTCACGAACAGAACCAGGAGGAGCTGAAATAAAATGTAAGGGTGGTGAACCAGGGCAAAGAGAGACCGAGCCGTCAGTGTCTCTGAGGATGTTTCACTCCGAGGGTATGCTTCCCCGTGGCCCGCACACTAATCCCTATCCTACTATACAGCAAGGTTGATAGTCATCTCCCTGGACTTCTCCCTGGACTTCTCCCTCGAAGGGATCGATGATGAAGATCCTTACCCAATAATTCAATAATCTTCCTCAACCCGTGCTCGGTGCCCCCCCCCCACACGCAAGACAGGCACACACACACATACATACACAGACAGGCACGAGTGGCGCGACCACGTACATAATATTGGCGGATAGGAAGTAGACGCGCAGGCAATAGTGCGTCTGTACCTGCATATTTCCCAATGTTGGATCCCTAGAAAGGGTAAGTGGGTAAGAAGTAACGTTCAACCCTTTTAACCGGTAGTATACAAGGGATTAGGGTTAAACGTCGATCTAAAGCATATGGGTAGCATGTCGTTCGCGCGGAATAATCTAGTATGTAATAGTCTCCAATTAACGTTTGATAGGCATCCGTGGTTTGCCAATAGGCAGAATAATAAGCAGAATAATAAACAATAAAAGATGGAAGCAGGAACCGGAGAGCCCGAAGCCCTAGGTACGGAGTAGTGGATATCCACCCGGTCAATAGTATCATCATGGATATGGATGGGGCGTGTACCTGCCAATAGGATTGTCGCGTACAGCATTGGCGGCTTCAAACAAGGTTGCAAGTCCGAACTGGGGATATGGTGATCCGCTTCTTACTTTGGAAGGTTCCAAGGACATGGAAGATCCAAATTATTGCTTGACACACTAGCCAAGAGACGGGATTGATCAGTCGGGATACAAGCTCTGCTTTTGGGCATTGGTGTTTAATTCGTACAGGCTTTTCGCGTTTTTTTCCTTTTCGGGTGTTCGGGGGGGTTGGGTTTCGAGGTGGAGACTGATATTCCTTCCGAAGATTGGCCGATTAAAGTGCAAACGCCAATTGGAGAAATGTTTCCGTTACAAACTAATAAGATTATCCATTGGTTTTTAGAATTTCTAAAGGGATGATTGGGATTGATTAGATTGGTCCCTTGGATGAGGCGCTCCTTGCTCTGTTTGATAGTGATTCGGGGTGGTTGGGGTGGTTGGGAGTTGAGGAACACGAACATGGACATTGATACAGTTTGCATGTAGGGAAGATTATTAACTATCCGGTGACGAATGGCAAGGGAAGAAGGAAGGCATCAGACAATAATCTAATCTGTTAACCGAAGATGCCTGAAGAAGCCGTTGACTGTTTTGGACGCGATCGCTGATCCGATTGAAGCTTCTTGGGCAGATTGGTGATCATTGCGCGCTCCACTGGTGTATTGTATTTCTCAAGAGCCCCATTACCGAATTTTGAGTGATGCCTTGATTTGGTCATAAAATCGGATACATAAAATCGCATACTCCGTACTCCGTAGTGTCCACCGAGCACGGAGTACGGAGTACATCGTACCTCGGGACGTCTTCAACGTGGCAAAATCGCGGAGTCGAGTGCATATCTTATCGATAGGTAACGCGCTTCAAAACAAATAGTTTTTATCTGCCCCTTTTTATCCCTTTCCTACATCGTGGGTGGCTGGAGCTGCACGAAATAATAGTCGGAGGTGTGCATCCGACCGTTTATGTCCCGGTTAGGGTTAGTGTTCTTTTATTTATGTCGGAGTCAGCAACACCTAAATAAACTTATGTCAATAATGTCGATATATCAGATCCAGCCCTTCAGTCTATGATCTCATAGAGGCCACCTAGGATTAAATAGAATCAAGAAACAAACAAGAAACCCGTACGGAGATTTATTCTATTTTCAACATCTGTGTCTGCGTCTGCGTCCGCGGCTGCATCTGCATCGCATCTGTAACAATAGCATGGTTGACGTTCCTACGGAACTGCAGACCTCGACGTGCTGCATCGGGTAATTATTCAAACACTAATGATCTCCTGCGCATTGGAGATAGCCCGTGGGCCGGGAGCCGTTGGAATGGGAATTGGGTACACGACTCCTAGTACATGTACATGCAGAATATCGACATCATATCACATCCTCAATACGAAGCCGATCTCAATACGAAGCCGATCTAAATATACGAGTCCCGGATAAGGTGACAGTGCAGAAGCAGCTGATAATGGAACGGTCCCGTTACCTCGAGGGGAGCACGGATGTCCAAGAGTGATAGCCCGATCGGGTCTAGGGGGAAGATCAGAGAACCAATCACCGGGCAGGACCCTTGCATAGTCAGGCCACCGAGTCACCTGAAAATGCAAGGTGTGCTAAACTTAGACTCGTGTTGGAAAACCCGAGCTTGGATGACCAAGGTAAGTGTAATCCGATATTTATCCTTTCCTGATTTACGGAGTACTCCGTCCGATATCCTTGGTATGCTGTCTATTTCTATATTTCTGACATTTACCAAAATGCATCAGGTGGAAAAGACGATCGGGAATTATCCGGGGACTTTGGTAAGGGAGTACACATCATACTTACATGCAGCCTCGTGTCAGGAAACGGGAAATGTGAATTGTCATATTGCCCGGCATGACGACACGAGATGTATGTACTATGTACTCCGTACGATCGTGACGGACCCTATTCCGTTGGGGAGATCGTGAGTGGAGCATCTGGAGAAAAGAGGAAGGGTCTCTTTTTCCACTTGCGGCATGGCCCAAGGGTGGGCGTAAGGAGATGCTTGGAAAGAAAAGACTAAAAGATAAAAAGGGCTCGAATGGAAAAGTACCCGAAGCTGAAGTAGGGAGCTAACAGGGTTACCGGTGAAGCTTCGTGATTGGCAGGGATATAGTAAGAGAGGAGGGCTTCGGAGAGAGTCCTTATAGACCCCAACCCTGATTGGACCGACCTGACCTCGACATGGATGTCTAGGGTTACAGTACTAACAAAGAGGCTATGCTCAGGAAACAGCACATACACATATGCAACATACAACATACAACATACACACAAGGTAACCGGTCATGTAGATGGTAACGTCCTTCCTCTTCTGTATATAAAATATTTTTTTCTCCCACATGCTGGACGACTCCCCACTTTTTTTTCTTTTGCTAGTGGCGCAGGCCGCCAGATTGGTGTTTATTCCGAACCTCACCACGTTCCAATTCTTCCGTCCCCGACGTGATGCACCGCTATAGTCCTGTTGAATGATCAATTCAAGGTTCTGCAAATAGAAGGTTGGAGCAAGTCCCAGATCGTTGGTGAACACCCTAGTCCTATCTTAAGAAAAACAGGTGGATCGGACTTGGTCGGACATCTCGGAAAGCATAACAAGTCGGCTTCTAGTGGTTTCCGACACACTGGTCATGTCGTTTGTGTATGCTCCGCCCTTGTTTTCTGATATTTCGAGTATTCGAGACTCGAGATTCTAACCCTAGACTGTGTGACGGGAAAAGATGTACAAGGACATAGGTAGGTAGGTATACATCTAGATGTACCTACATACAAAGGTAATAATACCCAATACCCTCTGTGCATCCCCCGCTAGGATTTCCCACTAGTCTTTTAGTCTGCTAATTGAATTTTCGGTTTATTAATAATAATTATGAATCCTCTAATCCGCAAAAGAATAAAAGAATAAAAAGAATAAAAAGAACCCAAATCAAAATAAAAAATAAAAAAACAAAATCCCTCCCCCCACAAGTTGGCCCTATACAGTTTAGGGACGACCCTGCTCTGTTCTGACTGCTAATAATAATATTCCGTATAATCCTCAATCGTTGCTTTTAACCCTTCTGGTCCCATCTTCCTTGCATCCCACTTTCCATCCCCCTTTGAAATTTATTATGACTTGCTAAGTCGCACATTCGCTCACCACGTTCGCTCTTACGCTCGCTTACCTGCCGCTACGAGAACCACGTTCGCTACGTTTATTGGAATTATAACTCGACTTAATATTTAATTCTTTTGGGAACCCCGGAATTTTCGCCAATTCTTTTTTATATTCGAACCACTCCGATTTGGATCTAAGGGGACGAAGAAAGTGTTACTTGCCCGGCGTTTGCGCGATATCTCTGTAGATCCCGTTTGCTCCGCGGTGTCAGTTGAACCTCCAACATTCGAAATAAAAAAAAAAAAAAGGATTCGCTTCGGGCTTTTGTACTTGCGACAGGCGAAACTACCCACTGGATATCGGGTTATTCGACAGGACACGGAAATCCAACCATCGCTTGACTGTCTCGGAAGACACTGGGTCCAGAAAGCTTGCGGAATCGCCTCTGTTTGGCAGGGTCTCAGAGCCATTAGGAAATATTGGTTACCCGGAAAGGAACTATTCAGGCAGATCGCTTTATCAGCTTAAGGTTAGTATCTATGTGCACCCCTCCCTTTGCCCACGGTCTCACTTGTGCCCCTCGTGCCTTGCATACTTCCTCTTTCGGCTCTTGATCTTTTATGCCATCTCCTTGCAGCCGCAATTTGTATTCGCTGAACTATACCAACGACTGGAAATGACGATAGTTGTCAAAGCCGTCGGATGGCTTCCCCGTCCCGCTCTGGTCAAGTGTTTGTTGTTGACATTAGCTTTCTCTTCAGGTTTGACGACCCTCGGATCTTGCATATTATCTGGGATAGTCAACGGCCGAATTTGGTTTCACATCAGAGCTTCCTTTTCTATTTCACTTTGATTCATCTCGGTGAGTTCATTCCCCCTATGCACCCATCCGATTCCTATAGTCTGAAAACGTTCTCGTATACTCATTAATTGAGTAGCCTATCATCTGCATCTGCTTCATCGTGGCCCAATCTGCTGAAAGTCTTTCCCGAAACACCTCACGGATCAAGGAAATAAAGAAAAGCGAAACCTCGCCAGTCCACGCTCGTTGCTCGTCATCCTCCGACCAATCTCGGCTCTCCCGTCCCAATTGGCGGTGGACCTTTCTTGGACAGCTCCTGTCAAGCGACTAGTTCTTCGGCTTCTCTTTATGAACTGTCGGGCACGACGGTCGAGATCTGAGTCGATTTCTGCAGCCAGCCGTTCCTAGTTTCAGCATTAGTCGTTGATTGCTGGATGGTGATTCGAGGCCTTTTGTTGCCGCTATTTTTGTGAGACCGACAGCAGCTTCATCTCGTCGCTCGTTCTGTCTCGGAGAGCACTCCATTCTTGCTTGTGCTTTTCGACCCTACAATCGTTTGGAATAAATTCCCAGTCATTCGCTTCAAGAGGTTCTGTCTCGTTGCACTCGCTGCAACATCTTCAAGCTGGCTTATTCGAAGACACACGGTGTTTTGGTAAGATTCCCAGCCTAGCTTTGGACTTGTCTCTTGTGGATGCCCGCATGTTTTGCATAGGTGTTCCAGCATAGCATTCTGTTTGAATCTTCTACTGCATTCTGTCTTCCCGTGTGCATAAGAAACCTTCCCGCTGACCTGTTTCTTCTTCCGTCACAGTTCGACCCGGATTTTCAAACGCCTCTCATACTCGGCGAGTCGTTGGATCTGTCGGACTCAGAAGGATCACAGTTTATCGGTGCATTTTCAGACGGCCCGTGGGCCAAGTCCGAGCCCATATTGTCCATGTCTGCTTTCCAGAAGCCCGTTGCCGGCGCCATCACAGGTACGTTGCAGCTGAAGAACTTGGTTTGCGACGGAACATCCCGTGTGCTGAGACCAAACACAGATTACGGTTCCACTCGATCTTTGCATGATGCTGCCTCTTACTCGAACTACGGCCAATCGCCTTATGTGACGATCGCCATGGTCCCCTCGCCTATGGCCGATCAGGCAAGTCAGATCTCGGACTGTGTTCCGTATCTGCCCAACGAGTACGCTAGCTCGTACGAAGAGTCTCAGTCGCCCATGATGGGTGCACGCCACCGTCAGCTACCCGAAATTGTGACATACAGCCCCCAGCGGGGAAGTGAGGGAACTAGGGTGATGGTCCAGATCCAGTGCCCCTATGACCTCCACGCTTCCTCATACGCAGCTTTGTATGTGGTTTTTGGCTCCAAGAAGTGTGAATCGCTTCCACATTTCCTCGGATTCCAGGACTCTGCGTTCCAGTACGGTCTCTCGGCTGACGTGCCTGCATTCTTGTCTACTGGATCCCCATCTTTTGCTGTTCCTCTGTCCGTCTTGATGGAGACCCAAGATGACTGTCCCGCCACTTCTCTCCAGGTTGGTGTGTACACTTATGAGCAAGCTTCCCACCCTTCGCCATCAGGGGATTCCCGCAAGCGGAAGTTTTCATACTCTGATGCTCCTGTGGCATCTGCCAAACGACACAACGGATCTGTGATCCCCAAGGTTGAGCACCACGAGGGCTATCACGGCCGCTCTGTATCAGCGTCCTACTCGCCTTACCTCCAGCCTCTTCCCGCCATGGTTGGATTTGTCGCGCCATATCACTCTGCATCCTCTCCCCAGACTGGCCCCGGCCATTACTCTTCTGTATCTGCCGCCTCCCAGCCCGCCCTCCGTGTCCCTTCCCCCATCACCCCGGCTTGGAGCCCCTCTTTCGTCTCTGTGAGCAATGATGCTCGGAACGGTCTCGCCTTGACACATGTTCCTCAGCACAAAGGTCCCCCCCAGCGTGGTCCTTCAAATCCCACTTTGATCCGTACCTCCACCATGCAAACGCACAGCATGCCCCACAACCCAGCCTTCAATCCCTATGCCATATATCCCACCAAGGCTATCCTCAAGTTGAACGGTGATCTCGATACTATGACACAAGGCTGGACAAAGGAGGAACGCGCGTGCCGACGTCGCCTGGTGCAATTCACCCGCTCTCAAACTGGCAGCACCATCCAGGGCGAGTTCAAGGCTGTTTCTCCCGACGATCGCGCCCCCAACAGTATCTGCATCAGCTGCATTTCATGGGAGGACAAGAATGAGTGCTACGTAACGAGTGTCGACACCATCTATCTGCTCGAGTCCCTCGTGGCTGTGCGCTTCACTGTTGAAGAGAAGAATCGGATCCGTCGCAACTTGGAGGGATTCCGCCCCCTCACCGTCTCCAAGGCCAAGGTCGAGAGCGAAGACTTCTTCAAGGTTATCATGGGCTTCCCCGCCCCCAAGCCCCGCAATATCGAGAAGGATGTCAAGGTGTTCCCTTGGAAGGTCCTGAGCCAGGCACTGAAGAAGATCATTGGGAAATACGTATGTTGAAACTTATCGGCTGATTGTGACAAATTACTAATCTTCTCTTCTATCAAGTCTGCCAGCTATTCCTCAACCGCAAGTGCCATCCCGACACCAATGACCACCACCTATACCAGCCATGCCAGTCATGGCACTGGTTCGGATTCCGGCACCGAGCCTCACACTGCCAACTCCCCCCAGTCTATCTCCGACAGTGGTGCTGGCCACAGCTACCATGGTATGCCCGTGCAGACCTACTCGCAGGCAGACCACTCCTCCCACCTGTCTTCGGCACCCAATATCCGGTCTATGAGCGCAGTGTCCCAGCCATATACATCTGCTGGAGCATACTCGTATCCAGCCATGAGCCATCAGAACGGTCTGCCACCCGCGGCTCCGCGAGCATCTTGGGACATGCACCCTCTCGGCCACAACACTCCTCACACCGGTGCACCAGGAAATGGCGGGTGCTATACCTACTTGGATCCCGTGTACTCCGTGCACGACACCGCCCACGGCGGCC